GGGGTCAAATGTCGTAAAATCTTCAAACAACTTCTTCTCAATAACCAAAAGGGCCAGGGTACTGAAATTAGGCCTGTAGCATGCTGGGATGAAGGACTACCAAGTTTGTTCAAATGAATGACCTTGACCAACTTTCAAGGTCACAGGGGTCAAATGTCGTACAATCTTCAAGCGACTTCTTTTCAATAAGCAAAAGGGCTAGGGTACTGAAATTGAGCCTGTAGCATGCTGGGATGAAGGACTACCATGTTAGTTCAAATGAATGACCTTGATCCACTTTCAACCTAATGTCCTCGTTCAACAATCAAGGTCAGAGGCATCATATGTTTAAATCTTTTAATAGGTTCTTATGAAATCTTTAGATTACAAGTGTTAGATTAATAACAGTTGAGCGATGCAGGCCCATTGGGCCTCTTGTCTTAAAGAGAAAATGGTAATAATAAATGTCTGATTTTTTTAATTTTTTTTCACATAAATGTATTAGAATATCAACAGCAAGTTTTTGTTGCATAATGTTGTTTTACTGTCTTCATGATTTCTGTCTTGTCTTAGAAAACTGCTGATAAAAATCAAGTGAAGTGGCACAGCAAGGTGCCTGTGGAAAATTTTAATTCTGACATTTATAAGGTTGTAATTCTAACAAAACTTATGACGAAAATGTTAAGAAGAGTTTAAAAACTGCTTCCTAAACGACCTTTTTCTTAGCTATATGTAAATATGAGAACAAGAGAATGTGTGTAAGGGTAAAATCTTCTTCATCTGTGAGATTTATCGATTTCTGGAGGATACACTTGTAAACTTGGCATGTTAGTATAACTACCGGTAGACTCCCATCTATCATACCCCAGCCACAGTGTACAGTTTTAGTTGTAAAACGTCTGTCTGGCCGTCGATCTGTGATCACAAAGGTTTCCAGACCATAGTTATGCCCCGAATACAAGAATATATGTGGCCATTATTGTGTTGTGATTTTTATGTTGTTGAGTTATATCATGGCTGTAGATACGTCCTGTGTTGTTTCAGTGTCCCACAATAACCTGTACTGCTCCTGTGTGTGGTATGTCATAGTGCTGTATATAATGTACGTCCTGTGTTGTTTCATTGCCCCACAATAACCTGTACTGCTCCTGTGTGTGGTATGTCATAATGCTGTATATAATGTGTGTCCTGTGTTGTTTCAGTGCCCCACAATAACTTGTACTGCTCCTGTGTGTGGTATGTCATAGTGCTGTATATAATCTGTGTCCTGTGTTGTTTCAGTGTCCCACAATAACCTGTACTGCTCCTGTGTGTGGTATGTCATAGTTCTGTATATAATGTGTGTCCTGTGTTGTTTCAGTGTCCCACAATACCCTGTACTGCTCCTGTGTGTGGTATGTCATAGTTCTGTATATAATGTGTGTCCTGTGTTGTTTCAGTGCCCCACAATAACCTGTACTACTCCTGTGTGTTGTATCTCATAGTGCTGTATATAATGTACGTCCTGTGTTGTTTCATTGCCCCAGAATAACCTGTACTGCTCCTGTGTGTGGTATGTCATAATGCTGTATATAATGTGTGTCCTGTGTTGTTTCAGTGCCCCACAATAACTTGTACTGCTCCTGTGTGTCGTATGTCATATTGCTGTATTTAATGTACGTCCTGTGTTGTTTCATTGCCCCACAATAACCTGTACTGCTCCTGTGTGTGGTATGTCATAGTTCTGTATATAATGTGTGTCCTGTGTTGTTTCAGTGCCCCACAATAACTTGCACTGCTCCTGTGTGTCGTATGTCATAGTGCTGTATATAATGTGTGTCCTGTGTTGTTTCAGTGTCCCACAATACCCTGTACTGCTCCTGTGTGTGGTATGTCATAGTTCTGTATATAATGTGTGTCCTGTGTTGTTTCAGTGCCCCACAATAACTTGTACTGCTCCTGTGTGTCGTATGTCATATTGCTGTATTTAATGTACGTCCTGTGTTGTTTCATTGCCCCACAATAACCTGTACTACTCCTGTGTGTTGTATGTCATAGTGCTGTATATAATGTACGTCCGGTGTTGTTTCAGTGCCCCACAATAACCTGTACTTCTCCTGTGTGTTGTATGTCATAGTGCTGTATATAATGTACGTCCGGTGTTGTTTCAGTGCCCCACAATAACCTGTACTACTCCTGTGTGTTGTATCTCATAGTGCTGTATATAATGTACGTCCTGTGTTGTTTCATTGCCCCAGAATAACCTGTACTGCTCCTGTGTGTGGTATGTCATAGTTCTGTATATAATGTGTGTCCTGTGTTGTTTCAGTGCCCCACAATAACCTGTACTACTCCTGTGTGTTGTATGTCATAGTGCTGTATATAATGTACGTCCTGTGTTGTTTCAGTGCCCCACAATAACCTGTACTGCTCCTGTGTGTCGTATGTCATATTCGCTGGTTGAAAATACTAAATAAAAGGGTCCAAAATTGGGAGTTGGCAAGTATGCTGTCTGTCATAGTATATTTGTGTGAGTCCTTTATTATATTCGTCTTCCATACTAACATATACTGTATTATTTCAGTTCTCCACGCTGACCCCCACCCATCCCATCCCATTCTAACCTATAGAAGAGCTGGAGTTTGTTCGCATTGTATGGCGTTACTGAACAGATATGTCATGCATTATTTCAGCAACCCACACTAACAAGTACTGTTGGAGTTATTTCCCCTGTATATGCCATGGCTAGGTATAGATTTATCCTGTATTATTTCAGTGTCCACACTTGCCTGTACAGTTGGAGTTATCTCCCCTCAAGGCTGTTTAGAAATTACCTGTATTATTTCAGTGCATTACACTTTTCTTTTTCCCTGTTTGTCATGCCTATATATATATATATGTCTTGTATTATTTTCAGTGCCCCATGCTAACCTGTACATGCTGGTAAACCCGATCCGACTCAACCTGGACTACCTGACACTGCTGTGGGTCAACTTCTTCATGCTGAACCTGTCCCAGTCAGTGGTAGGTTACCATATTCAACGTTAACCCCCCAATTAACAGTGACACTGGTATCGCAAAATATACATTAAGGTTTTATCATGATAGTGATTGAAAGACGATTTTTGCAAAATGCAAAAGGTGCACTTGGTTTGGTATTAACCCTTTCACCCCCTATGTAACTCTGGTAGACTCTACCATACATTGATCTGGATGAGTTCATTATGGTCTACAGTGGTGAAAGGGTTAACATAATAATTATATAATTTCTGTTTACAGCAATATTTTTTGTCATACTTTAATTTTTACCTTTTTTTCCTTCAATGATAAGGGCGAAATTGACACCGAATATTAATACACACCATATACCACTACCACATATAGTCATTACAGGTGAAATAAGTACGAAATTAACACTGGGAAAATATAGATTTTACCAGTGAAAGGCGAGTATTTGACTGGGATAAGGTTTTCTGGTATACAGTATAGAGGTTTTGACTGTTTTCAATCCATTTGTTATTACATGTAACAACAAATTTTTCCTGAAATGAAATAAAATCAACATGATGGAGTTTAGGATTTAATTTGATAAATTATTAATGATGTACACTAAGTATGGTTTTTGAGGTAAAATGATTGTTTTACATGTTTACGAATTTTAGACACCAGAGATGTTGGACGACACCCCTAAACAACACGTTGACATCAAGATTGAGGCCCTAATGCCAAGGGTAGGTACACTACACCAAGATTTATAGTGTGTTACTATCAAACATGAATCCAATAATTAGAAAACTTGAAAACTGGATCTACTGTAAACTTAATTCAGGGCTTTTTCACAATTAAAAAATGTTTTGGTCTAAATCAAGATTAAGCAAATTTAAGTTTCTGTTATTGCGCCTTACCGGAGATAAGTAATCACTGTGTGTCTGTCCACACTTTGGTTTTCCGGAGATTTTCCTGGAATGATTAACCTTTCTGAAATTTGGCAAGGTGATACATTGTGATATGTAGATGTGCGATAGGGGTTCGAAAAGGTTTTAAGGTCAAGGTCAAGGATGTTTAAAATTAGTCCATATGCATGGTCAGGCACATGACGGGACTCTTGCTGACCGGTCAGTGTTCTAATGGTTTACTACTGCATATATTATGGTAACGCTAATATACTAATCTGATAAAATTAGATAATGTGTTGAGGTTTGAGTGTACTAGAACTAGTATGTTCACAGTAGTTGTGAGGTTTATATATATATATGATACAACCAAGTCCTGGGCTACTATCTGGAGGTGACCATTCCTGTTTACAAAAAATTCTGTAAAACATTTTTGGAAACCAATGTTTGACTATATATACATTCATTATGTCTGAGATCAGTTGTGGTCAAGGTTGCACTTGTTGGGAATTTAGTGTCAACACATCTAAAAGTGGTCAGGATCACATGCGTAAGAAAAGCAATGCATTTGTCCAGTATAAGTCTTTTTTCTTGGCTTGCAATCGCTCTAGTGATTGAAGGAGCACTAATGCCGTCACGTCAACAGATTTGTTTTGCTGTCGACTTATAGTAATAATGAATTTAATTTTGTTGCAGGTGATAGTGTCGGCTGAGAAGAAGGTCGAGAGTCAGCCTGACAGGCCAGAGGGTGTTCAGTTACAAGTGTCCAAAATCTGTGTCACTAACACCCATGTAGAAGAACACACAGGCCGGGCAGATCTCGCTGAGGTGCTTCGTCAGTATAAGGACGGCCATCTCTTTACTTCCTTACAGTACCCTAACAACAACAATCCGCTGATAAGCCTGTCCCCTCACTTCAGTATGTTTGCTAACGGACAAGACAATGCTTATATGCAGCGTTATGCCAAAGACCTAGTGGCAGGTCGGTTACCCCAGGGCATTGAATCTCAGGCAGGGTCAGAAGCCATTGCCAAGCTCCTCAAAACCAACACCTTGAAGCGTAATGCTAGCTTTGATGTCTGGAGTGTGTGTGCCGATCAGGCATGGCTGGAGTTTGTAGGTGTGCCCGTTTCCAAGTCCCGCCCGATTCCTTTTGTGGAGTCGGTGCCAGTGTCTCTCTGGTTCTGCATGCCAATAGTGATGGACGAGGCAGAAACCAAACTCTGCCAAAATAACCAGCTTGATGTGGTCGGCATCAGTGGAAATAGCAGAAGGGGAAGTAGTAATGCCGGCTCCTTTCCGCCATCCCCAGACGGGGACCCATACAACTCCGTGTCTCCACAGAGAGACCGCCCAGCACGAAAACTTCTCAAGGAATATTACTCAACAGACAGCGAATCATACGACACAAGTCCCGACGACAATCCGTCATCTTGTGATAAAACGAACATATCCTTGAAACCCGAGGATAAAGGTCAGAGTTCACAGCTGGCCAACTACAACATTGTGGCTAAGGTTGGCGGGCCAGTAAAAGCCCAGATGAGTCATTCCCAGTACCTGTTTCTAATGAGACTTTTAGAATCTTTTACGGTCTTCCAAACTCAGTTGTCAGTGGATGTAGAACATTTCCTGGGAGTGTCCGACTCGCCCACCACATTTTCTGTCCCACTTGTGGTACCTGACCTGGAGTTTGTCATGGTGTGCCCTTATGTGGCAGAGTTACTTCCCTTCACACACAACATGCCTGCTAGCCCGTCTGGGGCAAGTCTACGAGACGGAGATCTGATGGAGGAGGGATATATGAAGGACGAAGGCTCTCAGCAGATTGACCTCGACCTAGGACTTGTAACAGAGGGTATGTAAAAACCATTGAATGAATGATAATCATATCAATGGGAAGGCACAATTGGACACATTTAAGAACTAACGTGGATGGACCTGTAGCAGGTAGATATTTAAAAATATGTAGATGGGAAAGGACAACCAGGTGAATGCTGTATGATAAATAAAATTTACAATGAAATGGGCAACTATAGAATGAGGGTACTGTACTTATCTTGCGACATAAGCCCGTCTTTGGTAATAAGCCCATCCATATCTATTGTAGTTTAGTAGAAATTCAAATCAATGCTATTTTATAGTCCAGTAATAAGCCCAACCCCCTTCTTTGAGTAAGAAATCATGTGTTGGCCTAATGGGAGATAAATTCAGTGATCAAATTATCTTGGAAACGAGGTAAGCCACATTACCATTGAATTTATTGCATACTCATGATGAGATAATGCAGGGATATATAGCAATTTTTGTTTCACTTTCTGTCATAACTCGAGCAACTTTGGATTTTGATAGTCAAAGAACAGTCGAACACATGTTTACAACAAAAGGGTACTAAATAAATCGCTTGTTTGTAACAAGTTGTAAAAGATTGATAGATCTAAATATTAAGTTGTGAATAATGTACAGACACTTTTTCTTTTTACGTTTTAGATGAGGACATTAGGGTCAATGATAGCATTGTGGACTCTGGGTCACAGTGCTCCTCCCACACAGCCATCTCCAAGTCCCTCAGCGATTCCAAGATCCAGTGTCACACGGGCTTGGGGCTGACGGGAGTCGAGGAACACAGCAACCAAGGGATGTTTGTGTCGGCCCAGATATCCCACTCAAGTCAGGGCCTCGCCGACAACCACCACGATTCCTCGTCTGGCTACGACTCCAGCTTTGGATCTCGTGGATCAGGTTCCCAGCAAATGAAGAAATCGGCCAACAAGGCAGCTGATCAGATGAAAAAATCATTCACATCTGCCTTGTCCGGTATTACTGGTCTGACGGACAAAATTAAAGCGAAAATAGACTCAAACGAAGAAATTGACGATTGTGATACCATGAGTATAAGAACGGACAACTCTGACGACGACCTAGACTTTGAGATGTTGAATTTAGAGGAAACCGAGATGCCTGCGTTTCACCACCCTAATATTGGAGCATCGGAGACAGCGTCATCCACCGACACAGATATGCAGGACGATATGTCCAGCTTATACGCTGAGAGCTCTGCGGCCACAAAGGGCAGAGAACTGGTGAGTCGGAGAATAATTATGAATTAATTGTGAATTTAGATAGACTGAAGATCTATTTCTTGAGAGCTATTTCTTCAGGACGGACATTTCAATAACGATTCTGTTTGTTACTTTTAAAACTTCCACTAGCCCAATGCCCAGATCTAGCAAATTTTATTTTAGGGCTAGAGAAAATTTTCAGAATTTAGTATGAGTTATTTGTGAAAATCTGCCTGTGGGTTATTACTGTCATTATGATATTATACAACCCTGTTTTATATCTTGTTCTTATAATTTCATTCTTTTCATAATGGTAATAACCTTTGAAAAACACAATATCAACTTTATTAAACGTAAAAAAAGAACTTGAATAAGTTTCCTTGCCTGCAGGTTTCAGTGATTGCATTTCGTGTGCGGGGTTCTGAGATTCTGATGCAAAATGATGGAAGTGATACAGCGATTCGGATCCAGACACGCCACCTCAGCACCAACCAGCCTGGTAACATGTACTATGAGGACTTCTACAACAAGTTCACCTCCACACCAGGTCCGCACACCGGTTAAATATACCGCATCTGCTAATCTCATTTATATTGATCACATAACAAGGAAATAAAACATTATGTTCTCCTGACACACTTGAGTTTCCCCGTTCATATTTCCTTTATTTGGAAATTCTCTAGAAAATAAGGAAAATGTACGTACTACAACTGAGTTGCTAATGACAACAGATGACAACAATAGCACAGAAGCCTGATCATCTCAACTGTTGTCTTTTTTTAGTATAATAAAATATTGTTTGCCCTTTCAGGGAAACACGATTCTTTGTTTCCTCTCAATTAATTATGTTTTATCCTGGCAAACCTGATTCATCAAGGGGAAACCAATAACTGCAGGGGAAATAAATGAATTTTATTATTCAAAGAAAACCCTCAAAGCTCAGGTTTTCTTTATTATTTTTCTTTATGATACTCTCAAGCTTGCTTGTTTCATTAGTTGGAGAGTATGTTGTTAATGTATTATGTTATATTTTGCTCGTACTCAGGAATGTTTGGCCAGAGCGAGATTTCACCAGATGATCTGAAAACCTTCACAATCAAACTGAAGATTGTGTCCGGACCAGGAGCTGATGCCGAGTTACCAATCACGACGCAGACAGATTCACCGGGCTACCTAAGTGTAATGGCAGAGAAGTGTGGACTCGCCTTCAACACCTCCAGTCTCGCTAACATGGCCAAATTTGTGGAGGACGAATCGACCGGGCAAGCCCTACCGATGCATGTCACAGTCAGCGACTTCAACCTATCGCTGAAGGTCAGGCTGCAGTGTTCGCCTCTTATTATTGTCACGAAAGGCTAAACTTTTCAAAATAAAATTACTAAAGCTTGAAGTAATGTTAGCTTAAGAAATTATGTAATTAGTTTCGGAGTATTATTAGGAACATATCTGTTAACCTTCACATACAAGTAAATAGGTTGTTATAGGGGAGACAACCATCCATATTTTCCGATAGAATACTGTATAACGGGGAACTTTCGCCTAGACAAATATTCGCCCTTTGCCGATCAAATCCAAGTTCGCTTAGTGTTAATTTCGCCGTTCAAAGGTAATAACTATTTATCAAATAGGTAACCTATTTTACTGTGTAATAAGGCCATGTCATAAATGTGGTATTACACACGTGTAATAAAACCTAAAGGTGCTGCGATTGGTCAAAACCGTGGGAACATATTCCTACACCACTAAAGGTACTTCTTTAATTTACTACACCATATGCTACATTTACTGTTATTTCAAATGAATTTGAAATGTATATTCTAGTATTACTTTCATTGCATTTAAAACTAATTTGCACTGCGCTGAACGACAATACTATGATTGGAGTAGTCAGTGCTTTGGTTTTGACTATATAGAGTCAGCTGGGAACACATAATCGTGTTTGAATTTTTGATTTTTTTTTTCAAATTATGAATGTTATGTGATAAATAGAATCTTACATTCGTGTATCAAAATTATTTACCTTGTTTAATAAATTCAATATGACATGGACACTCCTGTAAAACCCTCTATATATTACATGTTGTGTACTAATATTCGCTCTCATGATAAATTCAGGAGGGCGAAAGTGAAACTGCAGGGAAAATTTCCCAGTATTCAGTACTCGGAAAGTTGTGTATCATATGTAATAATTAAAGAACTTAATCATCAGGGCCCCGAGGTAGCAGTATACAGTAGAAATGGCCCGACTCTGATAAACAAGGCACATGTCGAGGAAATGTAAACACAGCGGATTTACCCTACACAACACATGTATACATGTATATATATTTGTAAACTGCATTACATTTACAATACATATAAAGTACTGAGAAGTGTATAAACCTCTTTTTTCTATGTATGTCACTTGTGTGAAAACCATGGTTACCACATCAAAAATTACCAAAAAATGCCAAAAATTGCTATTTTTGACCCAAAATTTGACCCCCGCAACTAGGATTTTTTTCCCTAAGTTCTGTCTGAAATTGTAAAGCTAGCTTTTCATGTGTAGGCACCTTTTCAGATTATGGCCAAAATTTTATTCTCGAACCAAAAAAATCTTCTCTTTTTTTTACAAATGTGAAGCTCACATAGCCCACTTCATCATGCTTATACCAATTTTAGTACAGTTTTATTTTTATATTTTTTTTACATATCATTATACATGGGATAGCCATTTAACAAAAATATCACCCATGGCCACAACCCTCTACTGTATACTGCTACCTGAAACTATCATTAAGCTAAAATGTTGTTAAAAGGGAATCGTTAACTCTAAACAACAGTAATGACGTTGTTAAATTTTAATGAGTCGCTGTCCATGCTTATACAACATTGTTAGCTCATGATCAACAAAACATTTTTGAAAAACGGGGCTCAGAACTAGGTCATGCCTTATGTTACTTTTCTTAAGTTCTGTCTCTGACTGATGAAATTTTCCGCTATTCCTGTCGCAGGCTTATTTTGATGAAGTATTTTATTTATTTCAAGGATGATGCTCCAAAGCCCAATATACCACCTGGTCCCCCTATGGAGTGTATGGTCCACAAGCTGGCCATATCTCGTGGGTACGACGGCATCTTCCATTTAACAGGTAAATATTGTGTTAAAAAAATACAGTTTGATTTTATAGATTAAGAGAAATCATTTCTTTTGTATCAGAACTTAGATGACAAATTATTGAAGTCATGGAATAATTCAAAATGTGGTGTCGGGTTCTTATTAGCATCAGAAAAGCTTTAATTGTAAGAAGATTAAAAAATATACACCTGTTATCTTTCTACAAAGATTTACTTTCATGCTGTATTTGGGTATTTACCTGTACTATTTTCTGTACCTGGTATTCAATATGACGTCTGTTTAAAATAAAGGTAGGTTAATATAATTTAGCCATCAATTCATCACTTCAAAACTGAAAAAATAGCTATTGATGATATTAAAGATTGTGAGCTACGATTTTATCAAATTTGTAATTCTTATTTCAGCCGAGTCCGTCTTGTCAAGCGGCCCTGAAACAAAAGAGTTGTCAGGACAACAGACGGAGGACAAGGAGGAAGGGAGACCATCGTCACCTTCGCATCAGTCCTTGTTATTAGAGAATCAACAACTCAAGAAATCTTTACAGGAAATGTCTAATCTCCTACAAAGCCAAAAACAGTTAAATCGAAAAGTGCAACAAGATATGGAAAGTATACAAAAAGAAAACGAAAACCTGCAAAGTAAACTGTATAAGATTTCATTACCAAGTAATGGCACCAACGACAGCGAGATTCATGCGAACGCGGTGATAGCTGAGAATCTGAAACTCCAGCAAAAGATCATCGTTCAGGAAGACGAGATCAGTACCCTGACAAAGGAAAAGGATTCTCTACTTGACACGCTCAAACTTCTACAGGATGAACTGTTTCAGTCTGAGTCGCGGCGACGACACATCGACCATCACAGTTAACCACAGCTTGGGCTACGCAAATAGTGCTGGCTCGTAACGGATGGGTTTATCTGAGGGAGAATGTTGCCAGGGTGACAGTTCTGTATGCAAGTGTTGTCATGGGGATTGTTGAAAGATATGAATGAGAGACTGTTGCCATGGCAATCAACCATATAACGAATGAGAGTTTATCTTAACATGACTGAGAGTTGACACGATGATTTGTTTTATCATATCACTGTGTTGTTGGTGGAAATTGTTTGGTATCCAGAATTTTGTCTGTACTATAATCTTTTTCCATATGGGTAAGATGATGTACATTTTATGCCATATGGATTTAAATCATGCCTGTGATGTATAATCATGGGTACTATTCATATTTTGTGTAACCACGGAGACTTTACATACTTTTAAGTAGCCATTATAGTACTCTTACTTAGTGTGACCATGGTTATTGTCATTCTTTGTGTGACCACGAATACAACTCTTACTATTCAAAACCATGGAGATTCCTTTTACTTTGTATAGTCATGATACTACTCTTGTATTGTGTAACCATGGATACTCCTCCTACTTTGTGTAACCATGGATACTAGTCTTACTTGGTGTAACCTTGGATACTCGTATTTTGTGTAACCATGGATACTCCTCAAACTTTGTGTAAACATGGATACTCCTCATACTTTGTGTAACCATGGATACTCCTCAAACTTTGTGTAACCATGGATACTCCTCTAACTTTGTGTAACCATGGATACTAGTCTTTCTTGGTGTAACCCTGGATATTCATATTTTGTGTAACCATAGATACTCCTCAAATTTTGTGTAACCATGGATACTAGTCTTTCTTGGTGTAACCTTGGATACTTATATTTTGTGTAACCATGGATACTCATATTTTGTGTAACCATGGATAATCCTTATACTATGTGTAACCATGGATACTCAATCTTTGTTTAGTTATGTATATTTCTAATTCTTTGTGTTACCATGGATACTAATGTTACTTCCTGTAACCATTGATACTCATATTTTGTGTAACCATGGATACTTTTCCTTTGTGTAACTATGGTTACTCTTTATACATTTTGTAATCATGGATACCCTCTTGTTATTTGAAACCATGGATACTATCAAGGCACAATTTCGGTCCCCCATTTCAAAAAATAATGTAATTGTTAAGATAATCGATCAGACCATTGCATTATGATGGACAGGGGGAGAAATTTGTGAACAGCGAAGACTTATTTTCACCTGTAATAGCCCTGAGTAACATTAGTCTGAACAATATGAATGCTAGTCATGGGACTGTGATTATGCTAGAAGAAACTTTAAAGAGTGCCATTGACTGTTTCACAACAAAACTAGTTGAGGTTAGTACTTGCTTGACATGTTATAAAAATTGTATAGTTATAGAAGAGTGTAATATTTGTGTGAATTTTGAAAACCAATAAGTTATTATAGTTTATCCCTTTTGATACATTTCATTCTCTTGACTTATTCAAAATACTGATTTTGGTTGCGTAATACAGGATGATTGTGTGATACTTATTGCTTATTTATGTTCATTAAGAAGCTTTTCTGTGTTAAGTTGACCTTGTAGCAATATTAAGATGTTAGTGCTAGTAGTTGCCATTGAATATAGATCCTGCCTTTAGTATTGACGGGGGCTCTGAATTATGAATGTTACCAGAAGATCATCGGCAATAATGTTGAGCGTAAATAGTGTCAAATCTGTAATGCGTTTACCATAAGGCCTGAATTAAAATATTAAATATTTGCCGTAAACTGACCGACCATCAAAAATAGGCCTTATATTCCAACAAGTTGTACAACCATTTATATCTCTCCACATAGACAATTATTGAATTTCAGATCCTTGAAGTTGATTATTTATAGTACGTTAATTTTGTTTTATTTTTCGTTTGCAAAAGGTTTGTTTGCAAATTGCTTTAATTCAAGCATAAAGTTAATATACCAGTGACTTATACACTGGTAATAGCATCATTTAAATACCCTGTAGTAAGCAATGACAATGAGCGTGATATCTTACCATATTTATCCAACAATAAGCCCATGCCTGTTAATAAGCCCATCCATATATATTGCAATTCAGTAGAAACGAACAACAAATTTTAATTAATTAACCTTCCCCTTCTTTGAGTTAGAGATTATGTGATTAGGAATTTATGTTGTTGTTTTTTTTCTTTAATGTATTTATTTTTCTTTTCGTCTTTTGTCTTCCATTCAAGTAAACAAGTAATGAATGTATATCTCAAACATGAGGACAATGGACTAACAGTTTTATCAGAAAATTTTAGAATTCAATGATTTTGGGGTGGCCTTAGGCCAGTAAAAAGTGTGAATTATTTTTCCCACTGCAAAAAGTTTTCTAATGAGTGGGTTTCTGTATCTGGTTATGTCCCCTTGGCAGATAATGAGTCTTTATCAGGTTGCATCACCAGAGTAGATTAAGAGTCTATATCACCCCCCAGGGTAGAAGCATAATAAAAGAAACATTCTTTATGAATGATATGATAAATAATATGTCCAATGACAGCCAATGTAATGCTTAAAGTAAACATAGATAGAAGTGCCATGCTTTTGTCTTCAAATAGCTGTAACACTGTAAGCCTATATTGGTGCATTATATACATGTATAATAATTTCCTTGAGTCTTCAGTACTGTGTACAACTATCTTAATCCCCTTTTATACCAAGAAGTTGTTTGAAGTCAGTTTCACATGCGAACAATTTAGTGTATGAGTGTTGCAATTTTAATTAAAAAAAAAAAAAAATATCATAATTTACCTCATTTTGAAGACCTATTCCTAAAGGAATATGTTTTTGAATAGTATTGCTTCTACAAACTCCGCAGAATTTGAAACTGTGTGTCCCATGTGTGTTAAGGTGGCTTATGTTAAACTCATGTGTACACAGCCAAGCTGTAAAAGTGATGCTTTTTCACTGTATTAACATATCTTATTAATTTCATACTTTTTGTTTGTGATTTCTGTTTGTATATTTTTGTTTTGTCTAACCATTGATAATGGATAAACATTATGTTATTGTGTTATTCAAGAATCTGTTGCCATTTTATCCTTGGTTGTATTTTGTATTTTTCCCACAATAAGCCCACATCTGGTAATAAGCCCACTCATATACTTCGAAATGCCAACAAATGCTATTTCGGTGTCCTGTAAAACGCCGGTCCAGCTACTATGAGTTAGAGATTATGTGTTGCCCGTTGGCTTATTGAAAGATAAAAACAGACCATGTTTTATCAATGGTGTCCCATAAAATGTCGTCGGATTTATCGGAGTGACAATCTGACCAATGATGAAATCCTATATTAACATAATAGCTAGGATACCGGTAACATAAATGTTTTAATCAGAATGCTTTCATAATATAAATATATATATAGTAACCCTATAGTTTGATTTTAGCAATAATGAATTTACAATCACAGTTGATGATAATGCATAGCTTTCTGCAAGGAGACATATTTCTGATCCCTTTTTTTAGTATTTTTTATTTATTTATTTCTATCAGATTTACATTATAGTGTTTGAAATATATATTATTTTCCGTTAACTCATTCACCACTGCAATTTCATAATGAACTATTCCAACCTTTGAGTTGGAGGAGTTCAAATGTGTCTTCAGGGGTGAATGAGTTAAGCTAATGATGCCTCCCCCTGCTGCGATCATGAATTTTTGCATGTAACTCCGTTATAAGAATACATGTCTTGAAAGTCGAAAAGTCATCAGATTTTACTTGTGGATAGATCATAATTACTACACCAATATATCAAATGTAGGTCACCGTGACCTAGATTTTCTGCTTCACTGACTTTTGGTAGACTTAACATTTCGCTCAGTTTCTTTAGTAAAATTTGCTTCTGACTCTTATTTAGATCAAAGTGGGAGCAGGGATGTATTTATGATTTACAACCATTTTAGTAGTTTTATTTTCCTGTATGCCGTTAGTCCAATGTTATAGGTCAAACACAAAAATGATCATACTTCAATGTTTATAATCTTTAAAACAATCAAACACAAACGTTTTTGATCTGTAAAATGAAAATGAATACACAAATATGTCCCAGTTTTTTACCTCTAAATTAATCATACACAAACAATCCTGGTCACATGACTAGCACATCACGTTTTAAACCTGCCTACGACAAATCAAGCACAGCCTATGTTTGGTCTGTGAGGAAGCTAACATAAGAGTTCACTACATTTACAAACTTCCTTGATCTCTATCTAAAAACACATAAATGCCATATCCTGGAAGTGCTCACACCTTAGGATCATTTTATTTTGTCATGTACTAACTGAAGAAACCCAGCAGTAGGGTTTTTCAAAATTTAATTTTCTCATTTTAGAGAAATTTTGTTTGTATAGTCGTAATATGAGAATTTTCCATCAATAAAATGGTTTTACTTTGTAGATTTGTTTTCTGCACATTGTTTGTAGATAATAATTGTACGATATGGCTAAGATTAATTTTTCTGTTATTTTTTTTGATAATTATTTTGTCAATTGAAATAATATTTTTGAAAAAATAAATTTGATTTGAAATTTACACAAAATTGCACTTAAAGATGGTTTTATTCCCCGATCAGATGTGACAAGGTATGGGGTCACCTGCCCATCAACACGGGTTTTCTCCAGGTTCTCTGGTTATTCCCACATTAAGAACTCCTGGGCGCTACCATCTAGGCCAACAAGAGCAATTGATATAATTTAAAAAGAACTTGTTTTGCAATTGATGTAAACTAGTAATTAAAGTTTAATTTTAAAATGATTGATCCCTAGCCCCCAGTATTTGTCTTTCCCAAAATCTATCTAACCATATTTGCCATATTTAGTGCCCAGGGCATGTGAAATTTATGGCCGAAGGGGATTTTTTTTAGGATAACAAAACTTCAATAATGATAATTGCTACATGTAACAGCAACTATAACACCTGGACACATTCCAAGCAAGAAGTCCAAAATTGTTCACACTCTTTTTCTAAAACACTTGTCAGATCACCAGTCTCCAGTGTCTGACACAAATTGTATAGTGTTTTGTTAACTACAGTTGACAAGGATGGTGGGTATGTTTGGAAAAGGGGGTGCTTATATCATTAGTGCAAACAAAGGGAAGGGTTTTCAAAGGGGAAGGGCGCTCATTACACCAAATACGGTAACCACTTACCCAAGATATCCGGTTATCCATCATTCTTCACCCACAATCTGTGAGCAGCAATCTATTATGGTGTATTCGTTGACTGTATTACCTCTTATTTGTTGAAATATTTTGTAGTTGCTCAATATTTATTATTTAATATATTTTGTTATAACTATGTAGGCAAATGAAATGTATTGTTGCTGTCATTCATTGTCCATAGTTTGTCAAGAAAAAAGTCGGATCCATATAGTTTAAGGATTCATGTACCAAAGAATAAATATAAGTTGGAAACAGTTTAACAGTCATGACAGTTAGCTTTGATATATCATTTCTTATGAAGCAAAACTGGACTGGGTCGATCGTCGGTGACCAGGTACCTCAATTAGTAGAGCGTCCAGCTAGAGTTTGGAGGGTTCTCGGTTCGAGACCTGGGCTGGCCATGCAATTTTCCATCTCATGTTACACTGAAAAGAAAAAAACTCCTTACCCGACTTTTATGAAAAATTATTAAATTTTAAATAAGCAAAAAAAATCAACAATGTTGCAACTAAGACATACCAGGTTTTGTAACCTGCTGTGGTTTTAACCAACTGGGCTACTTGATCAGGATAGTACCTTGACCCGATCCCACTACAGTAATATATCCAAAACAAAATTAAGGGGAGGTTACTCTATGTGTGAAAACTACAGTAGAACTCTCTAGTGTTCTGTCTGCAGTTGGACAATGATCCTTATGTCTCACTCACTTTTGGCCTGTGTCGCTGAAATCTTGTTAGTCTGGCTAAAAATTAAGTTTAATCAGTCTGGTTTGAACCTTGTGAGTCCAGCTAATGCCCCATGTAGAGTTTACAACATCAAGACTAAGTTGGCTTTATCAGCTGTAAACAAGTAATGACAGCGAAAATTAGTATATACAATATCCTCGATGCTCCAGGGGTTACACTCAGTTAGCTCTCTGCACCCCTGGATTATGTCATTGCAAAATTGAGGGCATGCGGCTAGCAATTTGATTGGTATCAGGTAAAAAAAAGCCTGATCAGTCGCTAGGCTGATACCTTAATTTGTCCTTTACAGTGTAGCAACAACCGACTTCAAAGACAGTGAATTTTACCGTTAGTGTTTCGATTTTGCTATGACATATTCCAGGGGTGTAGAGAGCGTAAGTGACTGTAACCCCTGGAGTATCGAGGATGTATGTACAATAATACTGGAGACAAACGACCCAAGCTACTCGGGATGGAAGTATCATTTCGCTGTTTCTAGTACATTTTGTTACTTTTTCTGCTATATACCTATGCAATTTTGTTTTATTTATAGAACTAGAGTAGAAAATGATAATGCTATACTTACTCTCTGTCAGTGTCTACAATTATTTTCTTCATTTCTTGTCTTTTATCATTATATTGAAAAAAAAGGCCATATCTGTATGTGATACAATACTATTCGAATGAGAGTTAAAACACCTGTACCAAAGAAAGCATTACACTCGTTAAATCATATTTCCTAAAAGACTACTGTATACCAGGACATTTTCTCTGCAGTTAAACTTAACCTCTCTTTCAACCTTAATTCATAATGAGGATGAATTTATCATTATTGCAAGTACTAGTCCTCACATACCATATACACTGTGTATAATAACATACTAACATTTGAATAAGGGTGAAAATAACAATTCACAAATATGGATTCTTAATGCTTCAGGCAAATATTGTCCTAAAATTTTGTCTGTGCAAAAGTTTTTCGGTAACAATATGTCTTTTGAAATCAATATAAAAGAGATGCAATTCAAGTAGTATTTATATCTTGTTCCTGAGCATAATATCTTGATGGAAACACCGTTGAACATGGAATCCTAATGGAAAGGTGTTGACACATATTACTGTTATCCTGATGGGAAGGCCTTGACACTTGTTACTGTCATCCTGATGGTAAGGCCTTGACACATGTTACTGTCATCCTGATGGTAAGGCCTTGACACATGTTACTGTTATCCTGATGGGAAGGCCTTAATTGACACTTGTTACTGTCATCCTGATGGTAAGGCCTTGACACATGTTACTGTCATCCTGATGGTAAGGCCTTGACACATGTTACTGTAATTCAGATGGTAAGGCCTTGACACATGTTACTGTCATTCAGATGGTAAGGCCTTGACACATGTTACTGTCATTCAGATGGTAAGGCCTTGACACATGTTACTGTCATCCCAAAGGACAGGCCTTGACACATGTTACTGTCATCCTGATGGTAAGGCCTTGACACATGTTACTGTCGATCAGATGGTAAAGCCTTGACACATGTTACTGACATTCAGATGATAAGGCCTTGACTCATGTTACTGTCATTCAGATGGTAAGGCCTTGACACATGTTACTGTCGTCCTGATGGGAGGGCCTTGACACATGTTACTGTCATTCAGATGATAAGGCCTTGACACATGTTACTGTCATCCTAATGGAAAGGCCTTGACGCATGTTACTGTCATTCAGATGGTTAGGCCTTGACACATGTTACTGTCATCCTAATGGAAATGCCTTGACACATGTTACTGTCATCCTGATGGAAAGGCCTTGACACATGTTACTGTCATTCAGATGGAAAGGCCTTGACACATGTTACTGTCATCCTAATGGAAAGGCCTTGACACATGTTACTGTCATCCTAATGGAAAGGCCTTGACACATGTTACTGTCATCCTGATGGTTAGGCCTTGACACATGTTACTGCCATCCTAATGGTAGGGCCTTGACACATGTTACTGTCATCCTGATGGGAAGGCCTTGACACAAGTTACTTTCATCTTGATTGGAAGGCCATGGCACAAGTTACTGTCATCCTCATGGAAGTACTTTAACACAGAAACTCCCCTTAAAGTGACTGCTTTTGGCACATGTATGCCAAATTATGTTTCATTTTATTTGATAAACAGCTTTTTCAAAGAATGCTTTGCCATAGAAGATTTTTTTTTATAGTCTGTAGTGTTTTAGAATTAAAATTATTGGTAGAAATGATTTATGGTTTTGATTTCAGTGATAAATTTTCTATGCTTTTTAACATTTGACTTACATGGTAGCTCATAGTTGTAAGAATTGTAGTGCAGATTTTATGGTGTCGAATGGCTTGACTAGACATGCTTTGTTCAATGTGGTATCTGACTTGGTGACTTTGCATCCATATCCGACATCAGTATTCATATATTCAACTATACACACCAATTTGTTCTGTTTGGGTGTTTTTTTGGTGTTTTTGTAATTTATCAAATTGAATATGATTCAATCCAATTAACTTGAAAAGTGTTTTTTATTTGAGCATAATTTTGTGATAGAAGTTCATATTTGAAAATGCATGTACAATGCCATGCCAGGCCTCTCCTTGGTATTACAGTGATATGATAATGA